CATAGTGGAACAGCTTATTCTCTAAAAAACAAGCTCACAAACCCCAACCCCCTTTCAGCTAGAGCTGCACAGCTAATCAAATATTAATCGCCAACATGATTTGGGCTTCTCACGATTGAGAAGCCCAAAAAGAGCGGCAAAAAACTGTGGTTTTCAAATTTCGAAAGCATGCTCCGCTTAGAAATCCCTAATGTTGTGGCTGTAGAAATATACAAGAGAGAGAAAACTGGTCAAATGAAAAAGCACAAAATATTGGTAGATTAACGGGAATGTACATGCAGCTCAACATGAAAGTGGAGATGTGCTCTTGTAATTTAATCAGAAGGTTAAAAACTAAATATTCAGCCTTTAATTAATGGATATTGCGATGTGTTGTCTCAGTCCATATTCATCAAAATCATCATGATTATCATTTTGGTTCACTTAAGGAGCCTTACTTTCAGCCCATCCTCTCCACATATACACATATCATCACATAATATTTCATCCCCACTCGACTTAGTCTCAGTCAAAATTCTGAGTAAAAAGTCAAAATTCTGAAAACAAATCAAAATTATGTAAAAAAGTCAAAGTTCTGTAAAAAGTCAGAATTCTGAAAAAAGTCAAAATTCGGAAAAAAAGTCAAAATTCGGAAAAAAATAATATTTCCGGTTATTACCCGTCCCCTTGTGTGTTATGAAGGTTTTTAAGCATGTAAACCGTCTGCAAAGTCACACACCCTCAAAGTACACCCTGTAGCGAGTAAAACTCTAACACAGAAAAGACCTGTCTATGCTGCCCCAGAACGCCTCGTTGGACATTTTCTTTTTCCATTTTTTTCTTCCGGGGCCGGTTGACGTCACTAAGTCCAAATGGACCAATTGGTCCAACCAATCCGCACACACACACACACTCACTCAGCCTGAGCTCTGTGGAGCAACCAGGAAACGACACCAGTAATCCAGCTCACATTGTCCGCTCCTCGAGCCTCAAAGGGCGGAGCAGCGAGCCCCGCAACGTCCCGCCAACCCGGCACCCAGACCCCACGCAGCATTTTCATCTGTTTGTCATTACTGGTGTCATTTTCTGGTTGCTAACAAACGCCATTGTAACACATAATCACTGATGTTCAGCTGGTGGTGGACTCATCAGAACAGAGTGGGCGAGCTGACCAATCAGTTTGGAACATTGAACAATGTAAATCTATTCTAGTAGACCTCAACAATGGAATTATAATCAGTAGAAATGGCCAAGACCTGGGGCCAGGCCATGACATTTCAAATTCTGAAAAAAAGTAACATTTCAAAATTCAGATTTTAACCTCAGAAAAGAAATCACTTTTTGGTCAGATCTCAAGAAAATAAATCACACATTGCCGTAATCTTCTTATATGTACGATATCTGCACGGAAAACAAGTCGCAATAGACTGTGAAGACACTGCCCTAAGGTTTTGAAATACAGTATTAGCAAAACACTGCAGTTAAAATGTAGCTGTCATTCTCTTTTTTCTTTTGGTTCCTTTTGCGAAAAATTGATATCCTTTCATTATTTCAATCAACAAGTATTCTCTATTATATCAGTTTTCTCATAGCAGAAGAGTGCACTTTAATATCTGTTTATTAATCCAAAGTAACATCGCAATATTTATATCAATAGTATGAAGTGCACCAACTGGATAATACAATTTGAAAAGCAGGTTGTATAAGTTGCCTAGAATATGTCAACTACAAAAGTTTTCCAGGAGAGTCACATCTGTTGTTGTTTATTTTAATCTGTTTACCTGTTTGTGGAGGCAGATTAAATTGCTGTTGGGTGCAACAGAGGAAACGAGACACACCTGTGCGCTGTCAAAAAGAAAGAGAGAGGATATGCTCTGCATTACAGACGTGTCGATGAAGGTTTGAGTTGTGATGAGAGCTCCATATCCTCAAGTGTCCTTTTCCCAGAAGCCTCCTTTGAAGGCCCACTGGTCCTCTTTGTCTTTTGCATTTGTGATATAATGATGGAGTGCTTTTCCAAGTGCTCAGCATACTTTTGTAGAGTGTGATATTCTGTCAACGTGAGGTACAGGTGCCACAGCATTCAGCTGTAGAGCCATATTTACCCACTTGTTATCAGTATTATCCTTCCATGCCACTTCAAACATCTACTCTACAATTTAAAGGGAAATAGTGTACCTTTTTCGTCACTACATATACTTTTAAAAGAGGCTCTATTCTGCTTTTTGGGGTGTTCCCTCTCCTGTAGTGTGTTCTATAGGTTTTAGTGCATGTAAATGGTCTGCAAAGGCTCAAACCCCTGTATTCCCCCCTGCCTGAAACGCCTCCATTGGACTCCTTAGTTTACTTCCTGAAAATAGTGTCATCGCTATGTATCGCTATGTATCGCTATGTATCGATATGGCTATGTATCGCTATGTATCGCTATGTATCGCTATGTATCGCTATGTATCACTATGTATCGCTATGTATCGCTATGTATCGCTAATCACTATGTATCGCTATGTATCACTATGTATCGCTAATCGCTATTTATCACTATGTATCGCTAATCACTATGTATCACTATGTATCGCTATGTATCGCTATGTATCGCTATGTATCGCTATGTATCGCTATGTATCGCTAATCACTATGTATCGCTATGTATCGCTATGTATCGCTATGTATCGCTATGTATCGCTAATCACTATGTATCGCTATGTATCGCTATGTATCGCTATGTATCACTTGCGCTTCTATTGGCTAGCGCTCCAACACAATGTACGTGATAGGCTAACGGCCGTCCACACGGCGGCGTGCGTTGAAGCTTCAACGCTTCTGCCCATTCACTTTGAATGGGGTGACGTCACGCTTCGCCGAACTGCATTGTGGGAGCGTCGCTACGCGTTGCTCGCTTCAAAAGTTGAGCAATGTTCAACTTTTGAAGCTTCGACGGAAGCGTCAGCCAATCAAATCATATGGGGAGAATCATGTGATTGGTTGTTGGTTGAGTTTCAGACACGCCCACCTGCAAGCTTCAACGCACGCCGCCGTGTGGACGCTGCGTAAGGGGCGGGACATCTCTAAGCTGAATTCTAACTTTTTCTCAAAATGTTTAATGAATTCAAACCCCAACCACTTAGTACAAATACAATAACGTAAAATGTATTTAGTCGCCTAAGATTTCTTTAGCACATAGGTAATTCGTTATACATTTTAACATGTTTATTTCTATAAACTCATGAGCATATTTCTAGTAAACACAAGATTTAAAGTGGCTATTTTGCAAAATGTTGTGCAGAGAATTGCAGCTTTACAGATCTGTCGATTAAATCAATGAATCAATGAGTTTGTTTAGACCACTGAAGACAGTCCTGCTATTTCCTACCATCCTCCATCCGTCAACACATCCATCTATTAATCATGTTCTGAGTCTCTCCAACTATCTCTTCATTAAGATTCTGTTTTGTTCTGCCTGAGAAGTCAGTTCTGTAATTCCCGATCCAGCTGAAGAGGCAGCAGAAAGAAGCAGAAAGAGTTTCTTCACCTCTCCTCCACCCTTTGAAAAACCTGCTGTTACCATAGAGATACTTTCCTCCAACCACAGTCTTCATCTTGTTACGCTTTTTACAACCGAGAATCTCAAATCCCAGACAACTTAATCCCCTTCCCACCTGAAGGCTTACAGAGAGCATCTGGGAAACCCCTGCTTATAATAGACATCCTGATAAACTTAAAAACCTCCTGATTCTTGGTGTACAATCGTCTGATTTAGCAGAAAAAAAGTCTCATTATGACTATTTAAAATCAATACAGAGGTTGAAGTCCACCCATGAAATTTGATTTTTTTTCTCAGAATTTGGACATTTTTCCTCAGAATTTGGACTTTTCTCAGAATTTAGACTTATTTCAGAATATTTTTCTCAGATTTTTGAAAAAATGTCTCAGTATTTTGGCTTTTTTTGTCAGTATTTTGACTTTTGTCAGAATTGTTTTATGTTTTCTCAGAACTTTTTTCTCAGATTTTTGATATTTTTCAGAATTCTTAATGGGTGTGCACTATCTTGCATCTATGACACCTGCTTTACAATCTGATTCCTCAAGGGGGGGGGGGGGGGGGGGAAGCATGCATTACTCCTATTATGACTAGTTAAAAAAACAGCACAGTTTGAGTTTTTTTCTCAGAATTGTCACTTTATTATTATTATTATTATTATTAAGGCTATTTAAAATCAGCACAGAGGTTTAACTCCACCCCAAAAAGTGATAGGCATCTGTATGAGAGCATGCTACGGGAAAAGAGATGGGGAAACAGAGCATTCAGACTTTTTTCAGATAATTTAGACTTTTTTTCCTCAGAATTTTAATTTTTTTCTCAGAATGTTGACTTTTTTCAGAATGTTGACTTTTTTCTGAATTTTGAGTGGGAGTGCACTATTTTGCATCTATGACACCTGCTTATCATAGACATCCAGATAAACTTCAAAACTTCCCCAGTTTTGGTGTAAAATAATCTGATTCCTCTGCATTTATCTTAATATGACTATTTAAAAAACATCACAGAGTTTGCACTCCACCCCGAGGAGGAAGAGAGATGGGAAAAAAGAGCATTCTCACTTTTTTCTCAGAATTGTGACTTTTTTTCTCAGAATTTTGACTTTTGTTCTCAGAATTTTGACTACCATCTAATTCCTCTAGGAAAGAAAAGCATGCATTTCTCCTATTATGACTATTTTAAAAACAGCACAGAGTTTGCACTCCACCCCGAGGAGTGATAGGCATCTGTATGAGAGCAGGCTACAGGATGAGAGCTGGGCAAACACAGCATTTCAGTGTCGTGACCGAGAACAGAGAAACAGCCGCTGCATAAAAACTACCAACGCGATCTCATCACTCTGTAAACCCTCCGCTGCTCTGTCAGTCAATCTCCAACATGCTGACATGGAGGAAACAACAACAATGCAGGACAACTCACACGTCCCCCCCCCCCCTCCTTTCTTTCTCTATCTGAATAATAAGTAGAATATCACAGCACTTACTCAGAGACTGCTACAGCTGACAGCTTTTCTCCGAAGCTACTCAGATACGGCACCTCCTCGTCCAGTAAGCCCGATCATGTGGGGTCTCCCTGGGAAGCCACCAGCCAGAATGAGAGCTTCGCTGGTTCATCAAATTCGGGGATGTCATCCTCACTGAGGGGGAGAGTGGGGGGTGGGAGAGAGAGAGAGAAAGGGAGAGAGAGATGTGTTGTGGCAGAGATTACAGAGCGAGTGGAGGAGAGACAGAGGAATGGTATTGTAGAGAAATGCAGCAGATCACATACTGTAGAGCGAGAGGAAGATCCCACCTCTCTCTCTCTCTCTCTTCTCCTCTCTCTCTCTCTCTCTCTCTCTCTCTCTCTCTCTCTCTCTCTCTCTCAATACAATACAAAGGGGCTTTATTGGCATGACCACATGTTAAACATAGTATTGCCAAAGCATTCCGCACAAGGCGTTGTAACAGAACAAAACAAAAATCAACACTAAACATAAATGTCAACAATACATGACACCAGAACACATACTGTATACATACTGTACTGCCAACAACGTGCAAATACATATATATATACATCTCTCTCTCTCTCTCTCTTTCTCTCTCTCTCTCTCTCTCTCTCTCTCTCTCTCTCTCTCTCTCTCTCCTCTCTCTCTCTCTCTCTCTCCCCTTCCTCCTTCCTCCTCTCCTCGTACTGCAGCAGCCGTCACTAATCACACTGATTTATGCTGTTTGACACTCAGCTCACAAACTACTGAACATGAAGTCTACTCTAATCGTGCGGCTCATCAGAGACTCACCACAATAACCCGTTACACACCTCCATGACGAGCAGAAGAGGCTGTGATGAAGAAGAGGAGGAAGAGGTATTACAGTAAGATTCATCTGCAAATGAAGGCTGTATATGTGTAATGTGATGCTTTTCATATATAGCAACAATACTGAAATGTATTTCAAATGCATGTAAACAGAGGTGCAAGAAGTATTCAGATCTTGTAGTAAAAGTAGAAGTACTCAGATCTTGTAGTAAAAGTAGAAGTACTCAGATCTTGTACTTGAGTAAAAGTAGAAGTACTCAGATCTTGTACTTGAGTAAAAGTAGAAGTACTCAGACTTTGTACTTGAGTAAAAGTAGAAGTACTCAGATCTTGTACTTGAGTAAAAGTAGAAGTACTCAGATCTTGTACTTGAGTAAAAGTAGAAGTACTCAGATCTTGTACTTGAGTAAAAGTAGAAGTACTCAGACTTTGTACTTGAGTAAAAGTAGAAGTACTCAGATCTTGTACTTGAGTAAAATTAGAAGTACTCAGATCTTGTACTTGAGTAAAAGTAGAAGTACTCAGACTTTGTACTTGAGTAAAAGTAGAAGTACTCAGATCTTGTACTTGAGTAAAATTAGAAGTACTCAGATCTTGTACTTGAGTAAAATTAGAAGTACTCAGATATTGTACTTGAGTAAAAGTAGAAGTACTCAGATCTTGTACTTGAGTAAAAGTAGAAGTACCAGAGTGTAGGAATACTCTGTTTCAGTAAAAGTCCTGCATTCAAAATGTTCCTCAAGTAAAAGTATAAAAGTATTATCATCAAAATATAGTTAAAGTAGCGACAGTGAAAGTAGTCATTGTGCAGATTGGTCCATTTCAGAATAATATATATGATATGTTTTATAATGATTGATCATTAAAGTGTTCTCAAAGCTGGTAAAGGTGCAGCTAGTTTGAATGACTTTGTATACTGCAGGGTAGCTTGTGGATTTACTCCAGGTGGAACTAAAGTCTGATTTAACACTTGATTAGATTTCACATCATTAATTAATAAAGGTTCATCTTCTTCTTCTTCTTCTATTACCGCCCCAGTTTAAACAGAAGTACACACCATGTCATGTCACAACCTAACAAGGCCTCCAGAGTCCAGGCTCACCTCAGGTTTCTAGTTGTAATGCTACTGTGAGCCAAGTGACACGTCACCGTGATACTGCACACATATAGTGACAGATCACACACACACACACACACACACACACACACACACACACACCACACACACACACACACACACACACACACACACACACACACACACACACACACACACAAACACACACACACACACACACACACACACACACACACACACACACACAGATGGTTGGCAGGCATCAGTACATCAGCGCAGAAGTACAGACCAAATGTACGAGGAGAGTTACAGTAAACAGAGGCAGACGTTGACACTACAAAAAAACTAACTAATAGATATCAACATGAAACTTGCTGAGATGATTACTGACACTAAGAGAACAACTTTTTGTATTGCAAGTTTTCGGACATATCTCATTTAAATATGCAAATGAGGCATTATCGTGTCAACTATGTGATTGTTTGCATACATTTCGTGAACAGAGAGTTACAGTAATCAGAGGCAGACGCTACTACAGGTGAATGGGGTAAAGAAAAGAACTAATAGATATCAACATGAAACTTCCTGAGTTGAACACTGACACTAAGAGAATAAGTTATTGTATTGCAAGTTTTCCGATATATTCCATTTAAATATGCAAATGAGGCCTTATCGTGTCAAGTGCTTGTTTGCACATTTCAAGAACCAAAATGTGAACATTGGTGTACGTCATGTTTAAAAAATACTGTTTTATTTTGTTGACAAAGGTCTTTACAGAAGGATATCTCTTTGTATCATTCCATAGATCAATTGTATGCATTTTTTGAGTTTTAAAGTGTTTCTAAATGAGTGTGTGTTTGGTGTCAGCTTCTGTAAAAAGCTTCAGGATATAGAGAGGAATGAGTGTGTAGAGTTTGGTGTGTGAGAGCTAATGAAGTGGAGATTTCTGCTGAGAGAGGAGGAGATAAACAGCCTTTAAACGGTTTGTATTATAAAAGCCCATTCAAGAGACTACAGCTGAATAAGATAAACTTCTTTAAATAATAAACAACACAATGTTCCCAGGTAATTACTCGTATGAAGACAATTAAGTTTGGTATTTCATGTTTTCTGAAATGTTGTGTTTAAATATGCAAATGAGGCATTATGTAGTGATAAACCTTGGTGAATTCAGGAGATATTTACAGACACAAATAGACAAAGTTAGTCAAATTAATAACGGGATGTTTTCTTTCTAATAGTCTGTGAAGAAGACATGTTAGGGAAGTCCAAAAACCCAATATCAACAAGTTTTTACCTGCAGTTTCTCACCTTTAAACCTGTAAAAGTCATGTAAAAACCTTTGCTTGGTTGTATAACAATAAAGAGTAATGTGTAAGTAAAGTATACCCGATAGACTGAATATATAAAAGGTATACAGCCCCATAAACGGTCCAGGAAACAGACGAAACCTCCACTATCTCACCTCCATCTTCACCACAGTCATGTTTGATGGAGGCAAACAGATGCTGTAATCTGAAGAGAGATCTGTGTCTGGACAAATCATCAATCAATCAATGTTTATTTATATAGCCCAATATCACAAATGTTACATTTGTCTCAGTGGACTTCACAGTGTGTACAGAATATCAGTATGGCAATACGACACCCTCTGTCCTTAGACCCTCACATCGTACAAGGAAACACTTCCAGAGAAACCCCCACAGTTTAAAGGGAACATGGGAGAAACCTCAGGGAGAGCAACAGAGGAGGGATCCCTCTCCCAGGACGGACAGACGTGCAATAGATGCCGTGTGTAAATCGAAGAGATAATACATTTACAACATAGGTAGACCAAATGTTTGGAAATGCATGTGTCTATAATAAGAAGATGAATCCACGAGGATGTCAACAATCCTGTGGGAGCCATCAGGGAAGCAGCACGATGAGAGTCAGGCAGGACCACAGTGACAGGTTCAGCCACGACTCGAAGTCCAGGACTCAAATCCAGAACTCAGGATAGAGGATCCAGGACTCAGGATAGAGGATCCAGGACACAGGATAGAGGATCCAGGACACAGGATAGAGGATCCAGGACTCAGGATAGAGGATCCAGGACTCAGGATAGAGGATCCAGGACTCAGGATAGAGGATCCAGGACACAGGATAGAGGATCCAGGACTCAGGATAGAGGATCCAGGACTCAGGATAGAGGATCCAGGACTCAGGACCGCAGCAACAGGATCAGCCACGACTCAGGATCCCGGCGTAGATAGACACCCAAAAGACATTTGGGGAAAGCTGGGTTATTGGGAACATGAGAGTACACAGGTACAGACAGATAGAAGGAAGAAGTGAGGTGTCCCCCGACAGTCTAAGCCTATAGCAGCTAAACTAACGTGTCTACGTACATACACTCCCTTAGGATAGGTTGAGGGAACATTTTTACACAAACACTCGTTTAAACATTTAACACACACACACACACACACACACACACACACACACACACACACACACACACACACACACACACACACAAAGACATAGAGGCCAAGGATGAGGTCGTCACCACAGAAACCGAGCATTCAGAGCGAGAGAAGATCAAATCTGTCCAGGGAAAAGCTCAGAGCTCAGAGAGAAGTGATGGTAACACTTTCTATGAGGTCTAGATCTACAATGCATTATAAACACATACTTAAAATCTGCTTAAATCACTGTATAATTATATATATGAACACTCATACATATTATTTTATAAAACATATTTGTACAGCTATGGGAACTACAAAAAGAAACATTGGCGAGTGATGTTAGCAGCAACGAGGAAGTATTTTGATGCTTCCCAGAATAATGAATACTAAGACACCACTGTAAATATTATAATATACATGTTACATACAGTATTTCACTATGTGCACATTTTTGTTTTAACTTCTTAGGTTTGTATAAATATTTCTATTGTATTTATTGTATTTTTTATTGGACATTTTACGTTTATTTTATGATTTTCTTGTATTTAATATTAATCTTTAATCTGTATATGATATATTTTCTTGGACATTTACTCTTACTTCTTATGTTTAAATAAATATCTTTATTTTTGTAATTGCACATTATCACTTATATCCTTTTGTTTGTATATATATATTATTATTATTTTGTATTATCTTTTATTTTATTTTATTGTAAAATGTAGGAAATGTCACAAAACCCAATTTACCTAATAAATACATTCATAATAAAATGCTTTGTATTATGTTATGATGATTGTTTTAAATCATATAAACATTTATGAGTGCTTATAATTATACAGAACAGATGATAACGTGTTATAAGTACGTTTATAATGCATTATCGACTTAGTTTCACTCAAATAACC